ACTACATTGCCTAGGCTGTTCTCAAACTTCTGGGTACAAGCAATCCTCTTTCCTCTCAGTGTCTCTGGGTTCACCACGTACTACGGGATGGTGACTTTGGCAAAGTGAAGACTATACAGGGACAGTCAACTCCACTGTGGCAGACTGCGGTCCAGGGGAGAGCTGGCTCAGCTCAGCTAGATCTTCTGATTTGATTTGATTTTTTGAGTAGGAGTCTTACTCTGTCACTCAGGCTGGAGTGCAGTGGCATGCTCACGGCCTCGACCTGCTGGGCTCAGGCAATCCTTCTGCCTCAGCCTTTCAAGTAGCTGGAACTACAGGAACACACTACAATGCCTGGCTTATTTTTTGATTTATTGTAGAGACGAGGTCTCACCAAGTTGCCCAGGCTGGTCTTGAACCCTGAGCTCAGGTCATCCTCTCACCTCGGCCTCCCGAAGTGCTGGGATTACAGGCTTGAGTCACCGAGCCCAGCCTTGATTTTCTTTCTTTTTTTTTTTTGAGTTGGAGTCTCACTCTGTCGCCTAGGCTGGAGTACAGTGGCACATTCATGTCCACTGCTGCCTCGACTTGCTGGGCCCAGGAGATCCTTCCACCTCAGCTTTCCAAGTAGCTGGAATCACAGGTACACACCACCACACTCAGCTAACTTCTTTTTTTTTTTTTTGAGTTGGAGTCTCACTCTGTCGCCCAGACTGAAGTGCAGTGGCCGCTCCCGGGCACCACAGCCTCGACCTGCTGGGCTCCGGTGATCCTTCTGCCTCAGCCTTCCAGTAGCTGGAACTACAGGCACACGCTACCACGCCCGGGTAGTTTTTGATTTATTGTAGAGATGAGGTCTCTCCAAGTTGCCCAGGCGGGTCTCAAACCCGCGGGCTCAGGCAATCCACTCACCTCAGCCTCCCAAAGGCGCGGGATTACAGGCTGAGCCACCGAACCCGGCTGCTCAGTGGAGCTTTTACTGAGCCAAGGAGACAGAGACAGGGCTAGCTTTCTGGGCATGTGACTTGTGCAGTCCTTGCGCAGAGCACAGAGCCTCACAGAGGGTTTATGCTTTGCTCTGCTACCACTATTTTGGATTTTTTTTTTTTTTGAGTTGGATTCTCACTCTGTCGCCCAGACTGGAGTGCAGTGGCTGCTCCCGGCCACCGCAGCCTCGACCTGTTGGGCTCCGGCGATCCTTCTGTCTCAGCCTTCCAAGGAGCTGGAACTACAGGCGTGCACTACCACGCCCAGCTAATTTTTGATTTTTTGTAGAGATGAGGTCTCGCCAAGTTGCCCAGGTGGGTCTCGAACCCGCGGGCTCAGGCAATTCACTCACCTCAGCTTCCCAAGGCGCGGGATTACAGGCTGAGCCACCGAGCTCGACTCCATTTTGGATTTTTAAATAACTTTTTAAACAAGGAAAGTTTTCATTTGCATCGGGCTTGAGTTCTGAAGGAAGGGAGGAGCTGAATCCACCTGGGAGGGGAAAGGACAGGACGGAGGTCAGGAAAGGCTTCCAAGGACTGACTGGGCTCCCTGGAGGCAAATCATGTAAACAAAAGACTGAGGCCTGGGAGTGTGATGCCCAGCAGGGGGCTGAACTTGGACATGCCAGTGGGTGGCTGTGTGACACTGTGGGGTCAGTGGGTGGGTGTGCATGCATGTGTGACATGTTTGAGTTTATGAGAGTGTATGAGAGCTGTGTGGAACTGTGGGGTGTGTATGTATAGTGTAGTATATTGCCAGTGCATGCAAGTGAGTGTGGTCTATGACAGTGTGTATGTGGTGTCTATAGTGCATATGAGTGAGGACTTGTGTGTGTCTATATGCATGTGAGGATGTGTGTTGGTGTGTGCCTGTGAGTGTAGTGTAAGTTTGCAGATGTGGTGTGTGTACACGTGTATGAGACATAAGTGTGGTGTGTGTATGTGGTTTCCATGAGTGTATATGGGTGTGTGATGTAAGTCTGTGAGTGTGTGTGTGATGTGTAGCTGCAGTTCCCATGAATGTGTATGGTGTGTATGGTGTGTGACCATGGTTCCTAGGAGTGTGTGTGTGGCTGCGTTTCGCCTGAGTGTGTGTGATGTGTGTGGTCTGTGTGGTTCCCGTGAGAGTGTATGAGTGTGTGTGGTATGTGACTGTGGTTCCTCTGAGTGTGTGGTGCATAAGAGTCTGACTGTGATTCCCATGAATGTGATTGTGTGTGTGGTGTGTGACTATGGTTGTAAGAGTGTGTGTGTGGTGCATGAGAGTATGACCGTGGTTCCCATGAGTGTACGTGAGTGTGTGTGGTGTGAGACCATGGTTCCTGTGAGTGTGTGTGTGTGTGTGTGTGTGTGGTGTGTGAGATGACTGTGGTTCTCATGAGTGTGTATGAGTGTGTGTGGTGCGTGACCATGGCTCCTATTGTATGTGTGTGTAAGAGGGAGGTGGTGGCCAGGGCAAGGAGTCACCGGGCAGTCCAACAAATATTTGTCAAGCACCTTCTCTGTGCTGGGCGCTGTGCAGGGTGCTGGGGTGAGTAAGCCTTAGCACTTGCCAGAGGTGCTGGCAAGGCGGTAAGGGCGAGAGATGTGTCAACAGATAACTGGAATAAAGGAGCAGAATGAAATAATACCCTCAGTAAAAGACCTCTTTCCCCACTTCCCCCAGGAGGGCCCGTGAAGCTGGATTTCCCAGGAATTGAGGGGAGGGGAGGGCTGGCAGGAAAATCCGGGAACCGTCCAGGGAGGGCCGACCCCATCCCCTCCTCGGGCACGCCCAAACACGGGAGGGGTGACCTCCCTCTGACCTGCACTGCGACACACCCAATCCCACAGAAGCAGATAAGAGGTGACCAGCAGCTCAGGGCAGGATATAAACAGCCCAGCCCTGTGGCCTCCTCCCCACCCCCACTCTCCAGCCCAGGACACACCCACTGGGATGCAGACTGGGGTGGGAGGGACGGGCGGGGGAGCATGCGAGATGGGCCCATCTTCACTTGAAGGCTCTGGTGCTGGTAAGAATTGGGGTCAGCGTGGTGGCTGGCCCCTGACAGAGAGTGACTGAAAGAGGGTGGAGAAAGTGCCCTGCGGGGCTGGGAGTGGGGAGAGCCTGGGAGTGGGGAGAGCCTGGGAGTGGGGAGAGCCGTGTTAGGGAGAAAGACATCTCGAGAAAGAAACCTGTTCTTTTGAGGTGAGAAGAGCTCCTCCCCACCTCCTCTCCCCAGGGCTGCCTCTTCCAGGCTGTGCTCCAGGTGCTGGAGCGGAGGCTACCTTCCCCTCCTTAGCGTGGGGGCAGGGGTGCTGAGTGCTGGCCCCATTCTCACCTGGCCTGTGACCTTGGGCCAGCCACTAGCCTCATCAGTGAAATGGGGACGCCCAGTCTCCTCAGCCCTCTGTGGGGCGGATCAAATGAGATAATGAGATGAAGAAAGCGCCTCATAACCTGAAAATGGCAGGACAAAGGTTGGTGTGCACTGGTGGCAGCTGCCTCCCAGCCCTTTGGCGGATTAAGGAGCCTGGCCCCACATTCTCCTCCCCCAGAGTACCCTCCGGTGGGGAGCTCACTGCTAGGATCTCCTTTCTAGAGCTGAACAATCCGGGGGTCACAGGTGTAGTGTAGCAAGTGTGTCCTGGGCTCCCAAGGCTCCTTCCCCAGTTGACTAGGTGCCTTCAGGCAACACTGGGTCACCTGGATTAAGGGCGCAAGGACCCTTTAACACAGTGGCTAGCGTTTACTCGTTTTCCCAGAAATGAAGTCATTAGGCTAAGTAGTTGCCAGTTTCCCCAGCGGGTGAGTGTCCTCCTCAGTCAGCGTGAGAGCCAGGTCTGGCTGAGGCTAAACCTCTGCCCTTGCCCACTACTCCCGCTAGGAAATTTGGCAAACTCACCTACACTTACAGGGGAAATGTAGGAATGTAGAAATAAATGTAAGGAAAAGTCTCTTTCCAAAATGGTTCCAGAGAATTCTAAGTTCTGTCATGACCCCACTATTCTCTCCCACCAGCTTCCCTCCATCATTCCTTGCTTCTCCAGAGGTTTGCGCACACACACACACACACCCTTGTTTTTCTAGGGTCCCTTCTTTACCCATATCCCTTCAGCCAATAAGTTAGTATTTCCAAGACCACTGAGCAGTATTTCATACTCACAAAATGGGGTTTTCATGTATTCTATGGAATTTGAAGCCTCAAATGTAAGGAACTTTCCACTTAGAAGATATTCTTCATAACACTAGATATATCATTCATCAGTAAAATGTCCCCTCTAAAACCAGGACACCTGCTCACTGTGGAAACAGAATAGCTAGTTCTGGAAAAGCTCCCAGGGAAAGGCTCAAGGACAGAACTAAGGTATACCTGTTGACCCTCACTTTCTGCATCTTTAAAATGGGACTCAGGTTCTCTTTTCTTGGGAGAGGGTTATGGGAGGCAGAGTGGTGTCTGGCATAGGACTGGCCTGTCAACAAACACAAACCCCTCACCAGTACTTATCTCCCTTTTGTTTTCTCCTTTCACAGGGTTGTAACTGTGATTTCATGTCAGACACGAAAGCTAGGACTCATATTACAGATATTCAGTCTACTGCCAAGTTGGCTGGAAGGCAAAAGCATCTATTTCACAAGGCCAGACATGCAGTTCTAGACTTCTTAGAGAACATGAGGTCCAAACCCTAGCCTGACAGGAGGAAGCTGCCCCAAAGAGGACAGACTTGGCCAAGGTCACTGGTGCTAAGTGTCATGGCGGCAGGACAGCCCCTGACCTCAGCTCCCTGAGTTCGTGCCCTTGCTTACATAAAGTCTTACATGCTTTCTCAGTGGAGAACGGCCTCCATTGCTTCCTTTGCTCTCGTCCCAGCCCCCATTCCAACATGTTTCTAAGCCCAAACCTCCTGCCACAGGAAATCCACACCTACTCTCTGTGTGCTTCCACCCTCACATTCAACCAGACAGACCTCCATCGTCCCTTGCTCCAACCCCATGACTCTATATCCCAGTTTGGAGGCCCAAATTTCAGCACACAGGCAGCTAAGTCAAAGTTTAGAAAAAGCCCAGAAGGCACTTTATTGGAGGTCTCTGCCTCCATTCACAGGAGAAAGGAGCCGGGAGCTCCATCCTCGGGTTCTAGCATCACTCCACCCCAAGGATTCCAGTATCACACCTACAACAGTACAACAGTCCATTGTCAGTGTGTGGGGGGATGTTTTAGAAAAAAATAGATCTATGTACATCTGACATATTTATAAATTAGGGAGTGCTCTGACCCCCGCCCGTGGAGCCCAAGCACCGAGCGGGAGGTGGAAGCCAGTCCAGAAAGAAGGCGCTGGAGGAGCCCGCTCTGTTCTCTCCTTCGAGGTGCTCCTTTTCTAGGGCCTCTCCTGGCCTCTTTAGCTCAGTTCAGGCATCTGCAGGAGGAAGGTGTCATCTGCAGGAGACAGTTATCCTCTGCAGCTAGTGTCTGGGATTGGGTTTGAGGAGGCACCAGATAAGAGGAGACGCGCTTACAACTATAGAGTCAGCGGACGAGTCGCTTCAAACCCCAGGGCTTGTAATTCCAAGAGGAGGGCAGGGAGGAGAGACCACTGGCTCCAGATCCCAGGACGATGGCTGACAATATATCAGAACTCCAGCTTCTCTCCACAGCACAGCAGGGAGCATGCCCAACGTGAAGGGCCCTCTGGCCTGCTTGTTCTCCCAGGAAGGGCTGCAGGCCCCGAGTGGTCCATGAGTTTGGTCCCAGGTCTGCTTCAGACCCTCAGTTCCGACTCTGGGCAACCTCTTCCTCCTTCCAGCCACTGGAGTTTTTGCCAAACTTGTAGACGAGCCGCCGGCCATCGACCCGCTCCAGAATCTCCCGTTTGTAGTAGTACCTGGGTGGGCAGAAGGGGGGTCGAGGTGTTCAGGCAGGAAAACAGGCCTCCGACGGCTGCCTCCCATCCACTGAGTTATCCTCAGGTGACCCGTCCTCACTGATTTCTGCCTGACTAACGAGAGCCTGACCCACACTTCCGGAACTTCTTTCTTCTGCCTGACTGCAAGGAGAAGCTGTTTTCTTTGTCCACACCAGCCTGGAGTTGTGTCCAGGGTACCTGGTTCTGCCCTTGCTTCTTTGCATCCGATGGCTACGTCTGGGGCTGATCACAAAACCACATGATTTTAGGTCTGGAGAGGACCTTAAGATGATCGAGTCCAGACTTGCCGTACATAGGGGGGAAACTGAGGTCCAGAGACAAGCAAGGTACTTGCTTCAACGATGGCCTGGCCCTGGAGTAGGCACGGCTCATGGTCTCTTCACCTCTCTAGCTGCCTTCCTAAGGATAAAGCTTGCAGGTGTTACCAAGAAATGTTGCTGTTAGCTACAGGGAAATGTGTCTACTCTACGCCTGGCTAATCCCTTCTCCATGTTATCATTTAATCCACAGCGTGGGTGGACACTGCTGTTCTCCTCACCCTACAAGACTCACGAACTGCTACTGGTCCCATGAAGCCAGGTAGCAGAGAGAGGTCAGCAGGAGCATGAACAGTGGCCCTTGGCTGGACCAGCAGGGCCCCATCCCATGTCGGGCCGTGTTGAGTCCCGGCTCACCTCATGGCCCGGCTGAGCTTCTCGTAGGTCATGTTGCTGTTCTTTTTCTTTTGGCCCCACAGCTGAGCCACAGCCTCGGAGCGCAGGAACTTGAAGACGCCCTCGTGCCGGTTCTCCCACTTCATGAGGCCCTCGTTGAGCTCCGGGTGGATGAGGATGTCCCGGATGAACTCCCACAAGTGGGTGCCTCTAGGGGCTGCAAGGCCAGGTGCCAAGCGTTAGCCATCCAGGTGTCCCCTCTCACCAAGGCCAGCAGCCCTGCCCAGCCCAGCACACAGCAGACTCATGGCCAGAAGCGTGAACAGGACCCCGCGGAGACCCTAATGAGCCCTCTGCTCACGTCCTAGTGGCTGTTTCCCTCCTGCCTCCCTACCAAACCAGAGCTCTGCGAAGACTATGCTACACAGCGCAGACGTTCTATCATGCAGATACCGAGCAAACATCTGGCTGGAACACAACGGTGATTGAGGCACAGACTACCTGGGGAAGCTCCAGGGTCTGTTTGGCCACAGTGAAAGCAACACATCGCTGGGCTCGGTGGCTCAGCCTGTAATCCCGCGCCTTTGGGAGGCTGAAGTGAGTGGATTGCCTGAGCCCGCGGGTTCAAGACCCGCCTGGGCAACTTGGCGAGACCTCATCTCTACAATAAATCAAAAAATCAGCCGGGCGTGGTAGCACATGCCTGTAATTCTGGCTACTCGGAAGGCTGAGGCAGAAGGATCGCTGGAGCCCAGCAGGTCGAGGCTGTGGTGGCCGGGAGCGGCCACTGCACTCCAGTCTGGGAAGTCCCATGGTCAAGGCACTGTCCTCTTTGCCTGGTGTTTCAGCTCACTTAAGTACCCAGCAACTGCCTCCTCACACTGCCAAGGGTGTCCTGTCAGGCAGGACAATGGCTGAGAGCAGAGAGAACTGGAGGTAGTGGGACAAGAAACCTGGACTCTAGCTCTAGCGTATGGGCCTCCTTCCAGAAGGTTTCCCCTTCTCTCTAGGATCACCAAACCGGGCTTGGCAACTAGGCAGTGCCCAGTGCCCCCCCCCCCGCCACTGTGCACGTTCTTATCGAAGGCAGGGTGGCCACGAGAGGTCAGAGAAAACAGCATAAGCAACACCCGCAATGATCCAGAATTGTACAGGAGGCATCCTCAGCCCCTGTGCAGGGTCGCCGAGACCAGGGGACCCCAGGAGCTCACCATGCTTGCTCTTCTTGCCCTCCAGGCACTCCCAGTACTCTTTGCTCAGCTTTCGGGGCCGGCCCCGTTTCCGCTTCCCGTGCTTAGGATCCCCTTTCTTATAGTCAGGGAAGCCATCTGTGGGGACAGGGGTGGAAGGTCAGAGGGTAACTAGTAGGTAGTTAGGGGGAGCAGCCCCTCTACAGGAAAACCCTGCAGGAGAGCAGGGATGAGGGGAAGAGCCGTACCCCAAAGCACTGCTGATGGGGTACCCCCTTGGGGACCGGGAACCGCCAGACTCACCCCTGGGGAAGAGCTTGCTGTCAGTGGCATCCAGATCCACATCACTTCCACCGGAGTCTGAGGAGTGGGAGCTCTGGGGAGTACCAGTCCCTGGAGGAACAGGGGTCACGAGTAAGTCCCCTGCCGGCCCCATCCTCTGCTGAACTGGGCTGCAGCCTCTCGGGACACACTACCCAGTCAGCTCCTGTTCCTGCCAGAAGGTCTGGGTTCTAGTGCTGGAACCAAAGCCTTGGGGAACTTGGGGAAAGGGAGGCTGTAGCCCAGACAGGGCTCTCACCTGCAGTGGAGATGTCAGAACTGCCAGGGGAGGGGGCTCCTGCGCCGTAGCTGCCGGGGTGGTAGGGGCTGGCCTGCCGACAGTCCTCCAGCAGCTCCTGGGTGAAAGGGCTGCCCTGGTCTGGGAAGAGGACAGAAGGGAGCAGTCAGAAAGGGCTCAGGGGACCAGGCGAGGGCAGGCAAGGCTGCCCAAAGGCCCGATGAGACCAGCTCTGCTGGGACTTTTCTTTTTTTTTTTTGAGTTGGAGTCTCACTCTGTCGCCCAGACTGGAGTGCAGTGGCCACTTCCGGCCACCGCAGCCTCGACCTGCTGGGCTCTGGCGACCGTTCCGCCTCAGCCTTCCAAGTAGCTGGAACTACAGGCACGCGCTACCACGCCCGGCTGATTTTTGATTTATTGTAGAGATGAGGTCTCCCCAAGTTGCCCAGGCGGGTCTCGAACCCGCGGGCTCAGGCAATTCACTCACCTCAGCCTCCCAAAGCGCGGGATTACAGGCTGAGCCACCGAGCCCGGCTGGGACTTTTCTAGTTGAAGGAGGAAGAAGTCTGGGGAGGGGTGTCACCTCTCACATTCTGGGGTGGGGCAGGGAAGGGACGAGAGTAGAGGGAGAACATGAGTCCTCACCGAAGGGGGCTGGGTCTCCTAGGGCCTCCTGGAAGGCCATGCCGTCCTTCTCCAGCAGCTCAATGATCCAGCTGAGCTCATCATTAGAGCTGGACACTGACAAGGAAAGAAGAACGGGTCACACTCTCCTCTCCCCTCCCTCAGGGGCTCTCTGGCTGTGCCTTCCAGCCTGGAACTCCAGGGTCTCTACCCAGAAAACCTGTCCTCCCCGCTTCCATTCCTGGGCCTTCAGTGGCCTGGACTCACTGAGGTCCCGTAGCTGGGCATGGAGTTGGTCCCCCAGAGGCCCGAAGACCAGACGCAGCTCCTCAAGGGCACAGTTGCAGAGGGTGGCCCCATCCATGTCACACCGTGAGAAGTCGATGGAGCTGGCGTCGTACTTGTTCTTCTCCACCTGGTAGCTGATCCAGTCCAGAACCTGCGCCTTGGACCAGAACTGGGGCTGCTCCCCTGACCAGCTGGCCTTCTCTGCAAGGAGCCAGGCACGGCAACAGGCTCAGCCCAGGCTGCCCGGCAGACCTCACCGTCCCATCCCTGGGCTCACTGGGGACTCCCACCTCAGCCCTCAGAGCCCTTCTAGGAGTAGGGGCAGAAAGTGGCATCCACAAAACCCTTGTCCCAGTACCTGCACCTGTCACAGTTCCCACAATCCCCAACGCCTCAGCCATTTAAGTCTCCTCAGTCCATAGCCCTAGAATTCTCTAGGAGACCCTCCTCCCTGCCCATCCACCCCATTTGTCTAATAGGCTCTTGGACGGATCTATCTCCTGCTCCGTACCCGTGGCACCTTGCAGAGACCCACCTGTACCCTCCAGCGACATCTGGGGGTTGCTCAGGGTCAGCACCAAGTCGTCGGTCCCAAAGGTGGCAGCAGGGGGAACAGAAGTCAGGGTTGGGTCCTCCGAGCTGTACATAGCACTGAAGTAGTTGCTAAAAACGTTGCTAATCTCACAAGTTGCAGCCATGAGGCTACCTGAGGAGAAGGGGAGAGATCAGTGAGGGACCGGGGTCCTCCCCTTACACTCCGGGCTACTCTGTTCCACCCAAGACTGCTCAGGAGTACCCCCACGGGGCAGGGAGGTCAACTGTGGACGCTTTCTCTTCACAAGAAGAGCTCCAAGATCTCAGAGCAATGTAGGGCCATAAGACCCTCCTGCTGGAGCTCCCTCTTCAGATCACCAGGGCCCCTGAGCCAGACTGGCAGGGTCACGGCCACCCTGCTCCTCCCAAGACAATGTCTCTGCCCTCCAACCCTCAGGACACCCCAAACAGCCCCATGCTCCTGCTCGGACATTCTAGACTAGAGTGGGAAGATTCAGAACGGCAAATCCACCAAGACCCCTCCCCAGTTTCCTAAGACCTGGGCTAGGGAATGACAGGTGAGTGTCCTACCGGAGTGGTGGGGTGCGGACGTGACAGGCAGGCAAGCCTTAAGAACCCGAGGGCAGGAGAGAAATCCAGGCGGCAACAGCTCCGCCAGGTAACGCTGAGGTGTCTGGCCACCGTGCGCCCCCACCCGCCCTAAATAGAGCCGTGCGGGAGCTCCACCCCAAGCCCGGGCTTTTATAGCGCATCCCCGGCGGTAACCTGAGCTGGTGGCTCATTGGACAGAGGGGATTTCCTGGCCTTTAGACTGGGCTCCTGGCCCCAGGTGATTTGCATATTCGGTGCCACTTGGCCCGGATCCTAGCAGGCGGTGCTGGGAAATCAGGCCCAGCTGGTTTAATGATTGTCAGAGTCTGTCATCCCGCACCCTCTGGGGTTGGGCACAGGGCACTGGCCTGGGCAGGTGGCGGGAACGTTGCTGGGGTGGGCATCCGTGCTGTCGACCGCCCTCTGGCCCAGGAAATTCCTCTCGGGGGCCAGGCCAGGGATGGGCTAGGCAGGGGGAGGGACAAGTGGGGGAACCTGAACCCTTGTCTGAACTGGGTCAGAAAGGCTGCCAGCCTCTCCATATTCAGAGATTTGAGGACAGAGGAGCCTAGTAGGGAGAGAAGTTACCTGAGGTTTAGAGATATTCCCCCACAACACCCAGGATTCTGGGCATCGGCTCTCCAGGATCAACACTGGGACATATTCATCGGCTAATGGGTGGTGGCCAGGCCTGCCAGTCTAGCCCCCTCCCCAGGGTCCCCGCTACAGGCCCCATTTGCTGGCACCCACTCTGTTGGCAGTCTTAGTCCCCATTGCCTGCCTGGACGCCACCCAGACATCAGCGTTGCTGCAGCCACTATGAAGAGACCTGGCTCTGCTTGAGTTTTTCCCTCAGTGTTTGCTGGAGCCCTCCCTGCCTAGAGGCTGCTGGAGGTGTCAGACTCCTCACCCTCTGTCTCGTCCCCCACCTAATCTCCAGTTTACTTCGGCCAGTTTTCCAGTACCTGTCTGCTGCCCTCTAGTGGTCAGAAACCTGCCTACTGGATCATGTCATTCAAGGGAGAAAAGAGAACCAACACATACATAGTACTAGTTTACTATTTACCAAGCATTTAAAAACATATTCTCTCATTTAATCCTCTCTCTCTCTCTCTCTCTCTCTCTCTCTCTCTCTCTCACACACACACACACACACACACACACACAGACACTCATACACAAACACACAAAATCCTGTAGGGAATGCATAGTCATCCCATATTACAGGCAAGAAATTGTAGTTTGGAGGGTTGAATGGCTTGCCCCAGCCACACAGAGTTGTTAGTTAAGTGGTGGGAACAGACTTAAATCCAGTATGGTGTACACTGGAACCACCGCTCTTCCCCTGGCTTCAGTCCCACGGTCAGATCCCTTGTCTCCCATGTGGGCAGTGAGTCCCCCGCATGTGGGGTTCTCTCTAAGGACTCAGCACCAACACAATGGACTGTGTCCTGTGGACCCTCCTAGAGCCCCTGAGCAGGGGTGGAGAGGAAGAGGCAAGAGACGTGTGTTCCAGTGTCTGCAACGCTGTGATCTGGGGTAAGACCCTTGGATATGCACTTCAGTGTCCTCAGGAGTAAAAATGAGTTTCTTAAGGAACCCTAAGATCTCTTCCAGATCCACTTTTTCACCCATCTAAAATGTAGGCTCTGTGTGTCTCCCCCTCCCCACCTCCTTCATTAAGGCCACATCCTGGGTGGTTCCCAGCTAGGGTGGGTGAAATGGTTACTCAAACAAAAGGTGACTCCACCTCCAGAGATTCTGCTCTCTTTAACTCTATAGCCCGAGGACTAAGAAAGTCCTTTGCAGAGAATCTGCTTCTCATCTTCCCAGTCTTTGAAACTACTGCGTGCCCAGCATAGAGGGTTAATGTCCAGAATCGCCTCTGCTGGGCCAGGGGGTCAGGAGAGCCTGGGGCTCTGAGTAGGATTTTCCCCAGCCCTCCAGGGGGCCTCCCCCAAGGAGCCCGAAGGGGGCACGCCCTCTATCCAGTCACTCACCCTGGAATGTGGGAGAACCGGCTTCTAGCCTCAGGGCTGCTCACGTGTTCCCTGCCCTGAGAGCACCTGGCTGGAGCTCCAGACTGCAGGGTGAGAAGGCATAAAGAATGAAAAGGCTATCAGCTTCCTTGCCTTCATGGGGTTTCTTTCTGGGAGAAATGAAGCCGAGATAAGAGATTCCTATAGGCTAGCACCTTGAGATAAGTGGGAAAGACTTGGATTGGAGGTCAGTGCCTTGGAGGGATGAGGAGTGGGGTGGGGACAGCACCCTTAATGATCCCTAAGATCTCTTCCAGATCCACTGGTCTTCCCCACAGAGCTTACCCAGATGGGGCCCGGGCTTTGGGGTGGGAAAATGGCAGGAGCATTGCCCCTTCAGCCTTAAAAAAACAGGCACATCCAGTAGGACTGTCGGGTACCAAGGTGGAGAATGGGGAGGGCTACACAGCTCAGGAAGCCCATGCTGTGAACTGCGAGGCCTTGCAAAGTTTGTGGAGTCAGAGAATGGCTTTTAGAGAAAGAGCTTTCGGTGACGCTTCATTATTACTGGGCTCACTGATGCAGAATATGGAAAGGAAGCTACTGGTCACAGAGCTGATAAACAGGACACTGAGCTGGGGAGCGGGGGGAGGCAACTGTATAGCCACAACATAGTCCTAACCTGTAACATGTGGTCAGAACAGTCCTGAGAGCCATGGAAGTGTTTTGCTAGCTACATGCCAGTGCTCAGAGTCGCTCTTACAATCCTGGGCCCCCAGATCCTGCTCCTGTGACCCATTGCACCACGTCTGCTGGTGGAGCTGTGTGTGCCCTGGTCAGGAGCACCCTCCAGCCACCATCTGGTCACCACTAGTCCCCCATTCTTGCAAGTGAGAACAAATCATGACCGAAGTTCTCTTTTTCAGCCCTTGCTCAGGGGAGGGAGGAGGCGGCATTGACAAGCTGAAGTCAAGGACAGAGCTGAACTGCAATGGAGACTGTATTTAAGAAAAGCGACTGAGACAAATTTAGCTATTTCTTTCGACTCTACCCTCATCCCACTCCCCAAACCAAGTTGCTAACCACTCAGCTCCCAAAGCTGAAGCCAGGAAATATGAACTGAGCGCCAAGTTCTGGACAGATTCTACTGATGACCACACCATTCACAGTTCCCCAGGAGCACAGGCAAGCGAGGCCTGGTGAAGCCGCAGGGATGGGGAGAAGGGTGGAGAACGAACCCTAAGACATGCTTCAAGTGATGGAAAAGATAAGCGGGAATGGTGCTGCAGGTAGAGAATGCAGCTGCCTTCACAGAACTGGAATGCTGCTCCCTTGTTCACATTTCCTACAGCAGCCACGCCACTCTGCCACATACTCCCCCCTATGTGTCCATGCGATACCCGCCTCCTTCTGCTTGGCCATTCCTCATGGCCAGGGAAACACTGTCATCCTCTGGGTCTCCCCCAGAGACCTTCGCTGAACACGCACACACAGAGGGGACCCTTGGTAGAAATTCAATAGTCAATCAATGACTCCACCTTATCTATTTTTTGCTTAAAAACATTTATTAAAAATAAGATTAAACCTGAAAAAAGAAGAACCAGAATGCCAGCCCTTTGCACAGTACTTGAAAAAATCAGCAAAAAGAGAGAAGGAAGGACGGAAAGAAGTTAGTTCTCTCCACTTCTACCCAGAGACTTAAGTGGGGAGCGGGGAGAGGCCCTCCAGTGGCAGCTGTCCCTCCAATGCCTGCGGCCTACAGGGAGCCAGAGAAGTTCCAACCAGAGCAGAGTCATCGATACCTAAGCCCGGAGAACAGATTATTCTGAGGGGATATATAAAGTTCAGGAAGTTGATCAGAGACCTGGAATTTGGGAACAAATGCTTCTGGAAGCCTGTGAAGTCTACAAAGGCAAGAGGCCATGCGCATGAGTCTCTAACCGCCCTTGGGCTCCACGATCTGCCGGACATAGTTGACAACGTTGCTGTGGAGCTGGGATGTGGTGGACGCAAGGGTCTCCTTGGCGAGAGTCTGGGCCACTTCACTGCCGCTCATCATTGCGTGGTACAGTGGGAGGGTATACTTCTGCTTCCCCTGCAAGAAATACACATCATGTGATAAGCAGCTTGCTTGAGGGTCTGTCCAGGCCTCTTGCACCCAGGAGCCGTCTAATAGCGGTCACGGGCAGGTGCTGAAAGGGCTGGCACGAGGAGTTTCCAGTCAGAAGGGCTCTAATTCTGACATTTTCTTGGGGGCAAAGATCCATCAACAGGGATCTCAATACGCATCCCAACCCATGCTAACACAGGAAGGTCTACATGCAACAAAACAAATGGGACGGGCTGGCACAATGGGACTCCAGACTTTTAGAAAGCTGTAGGTGTTAGCCACCAAGTTAATAGCAGATATCAAAGGCTGCGGTCCGTGAAGTTTAGGGACACATAAGGTCCAGCTGCAGTTAAGCAAAAGAAAATTCCCAAGTTGGTCGGGCCTGGTGGCTCACGCCTATAATACTAGCGTTCTGAGGGGCTGAGGCAGGAGGATCACTTGAGAGCAGGAGTTCAAGACTAGCCTGGGCAACATAGTGAGATCTCATCTCTATTAAAAAAAAAAAAAATTAGCCGGGTGTGGTGGTGTGTGCCTGTGGTCCCACCTACTTCAGAGACTGAGGCAGAAGGATCACCTGAGCCCGGGAGGTTGAGGCTGGTTCAGATGGTCAGCTGTGATTGTGCCACTACACTCCAGCCTAGGTAACAAAGTGAGACCTCGATGCGCGCGCACACACACACACACACACACACACACACAGAGTCACACGTCAAATTTACACAAATGTAAGCCAGTTACATCACAAGTTCCTAAGCTCCCCAGGCTTGAAGAAGCCATCAGAGGGCTCAGAATACCCCCAACAGACAAGCAGCTCCCATTCACACAGATGGGGGAATCTGAGTGAGCTGTGGATCCAGTTCAGCCCCACTCCCTGCTCTGGAATCTGACAACGTTCAGTTCATTCCAAGAGACCCTGGACCCTTCTCCAACAGAGCAACTCTCGCAGGGCAATGCAGGGTTCTGCTGGTGTCTCAATCGCTCCCATGTCACAGGGCTTCTGCAGGGAGCAGGGACCTTTCATCTCACCCTCACTCTTCGTGCTTGTCCTTTGGCCCCTTTCCCTCCAGTGTTTTCTGCATGACCAGCCCGGCATTACGCCATCACCCTCTTTCCCAGTTTTGGGTTAGCTTTGACTAGCTTTTCCCCTTCAGGTCTCTCCAGCTGATCTTAAAAAAAAAGGCCTGTGGGCTTCCTCTTTCCTCCCAGGCAAGGTGTCCACAGCCACCAAAGGCTGATTAGCAGGGTCCTGCAGGTCATTTGACCTCTCCCTCCATATCTCAGACAGATGAAGCTCTTGATGAGGCTCTGCCTTCGTGACTGTATCAAGTATGGCTGAGTGGTCCACGGGCAGTGGACAGGCAGGTGGGGGTCACCCACCTGGCTGTGCAGGAACTCCTTCACTTTCCAGAAATCTTCCTGGTGGTCGTTCTTAAGGACAATTTGGCCCCAGCGGAGCCGCAGCTCCGCATTCTGGGCATTTGAGATCTTGGGGTATGTCTCTCCAAACCTTTTCACATTCCCTGGAAAAGAGAAATAAATGACGTGTGAATGGCCTGCAGAGGACACAGAGGAGCCCCATTCTCAGGGATCCCAATGGGGCCCATGTCTGCCCTCAGGCCCTCCCAAAGCACTAGGGATAGACTAGGAGGTTCCCCGACCACTTGCTCTACCATTCACTCTGTTCATTTTACAATGGTAATGTTCTAGTCTCACATTTATTTTAATTTCTAAGGCTCTTCCACCAAATGTCCCTTAATATTATTACAGACTTCCAACTCTTTTCTTGCAATCATCCTATTTTCCTTCCCAGATTTAGGATAGTCCCCTAAAATATCCCATGCCATTTTTTCTCCTACCACTAACCTGCTAAAAGTTACCTCAGCTTTAAGTTTCTTTTATGCCCTAGTGAATATTACTCTGACTGCACAGCAACAAAGCATTAGTAGTTACAAGCTTCGGATGACTGGGTTCAAATCCCAGCCCGACCATTTACTGGCTGTGTGATGCACTTGTGCCCCAAGTTAATTCTTCATTACCTGAGGATTATAATCACACTACCTACTTCCAAGAGTAGTTGTGAGGATTAAAGAGCTTGCAAGCGTTGCCTGCAGAAGCCGAGGACTTGAGGAACGACAGGCTTTACTATTTTGTCCCCATGGTAGTGGTGGGTATAACCTACATCCTTCTGATGGCACATTCCTTGTGGAGTGCCACCCTCCCTGTTATATCTGGTAGTCACCTAGGCACAAGCATCACAACTCTTTCTGAGTCTCCCTCTGGCTCCTGATACAAAGCTCTGCACAAAAGAGCCTTGATTCACTATGCTTTCTTACCAGGAGGGAGAGGAGATTTCTGGAGGATCTTATCCAGGAAGTAGACCAGCTGGTAGGTCTTCCAGGGAGAGATGGCCACAGCTTCAATGGCCTTCGTGTCCAGCTCCTCAGCCGCCCACAACTGAGCCAGCTCTTCAGCAGGCTTCATGAGCAAGTCCCCAGGGGAAAGATCAGGGAGGTAGGGGGGCCAGCCAGGGGTATTCAGCCACCGATCAAACTCCAAACCTGTTTGGTATCAGCACAGAATATACTGTCAGAATTCTCTGGCCAGGTTACAGTCAACTTGCCCAAGCAACTCTCACAGACCCCGAGCTCCTGTCTCTCACCACCCCAAACTCTTCCTCCGGCATTTCACCTCTCTTCCCATACAATTACTTGCTCCAGCAGGGTCCCAGTCATAATAATATGTAGACACTGTCATAGTAGGACTGGACTGTGCCTGTTTCTGCTGTGAAAGTGTTTTTTGCTCCAAATTAACATTGTGTTGTCAAAGCCAAGCCGATGGATACCATCTTCAAGTATAGGTTCTCCTCGTGATGACCAGCTAAGAACCACGCTTAAGCACTAGGGCTCCAGGACAGGCTTCCTGGGCTCCTAGCCCAGCTCTACCATTAACTAGCTGGGAGGCCATGGACATGTTACCTCTTTGCACCTCAGTCTTATCTATAAAATGGAGGTGACAGGCCCTGCCTTAGTTGACAGTTATGAAGATTAAATGACCAAATACACGTTAAAAGCTTAACGTTCTGTCTGATGTATAGTAAGAACACAGTAATTATTAACTATCACTAGCTACAGAGTCTCATAACCTTCAGGTGCAGGCCTCCAACCAAAGAGCAGGTGCCAGTGAGGCCTAACTAACTGCAGCTGTTCCCAATGACAGAGTGACTCAGGGTTCACAGCATGAAGAAAGGGTACATCTAATGGACCATCTCACCATGACAGGATATTTTCCACTCACTTCAGAAGCAGTACCTCCCAGGCTGAAATTGGGACAGCCACTGGGACTGACTTTGCTCAGAAGGCAAAATGAGGCAGCTCCATGACCCTATGGCAGGGGCTGCTGCGCCTGCTCCTGCCCTGCAAGCTTTAGTTGGGGCAGTGGTAGCAGCAGTAGAGCCGCAACTCTCTGGGCAGAGTTAAGGGTCTGATTATGTGTGTCCAGGTGTGAGGAAAACATGGAGAAAGTAAGAAACAAACTAGGAGCAACAGGGGAGCAAGGAACCAAGAGAGGTAATTTTTGTGAATAAAGCCTGGGATCCCAGTTTGTGCCCCAAAAAGTCCCTGACCAGGCAACTGCGATCCAGTCTCTTCCCACCCACCTTGGTCTCCCCAGGTGTGGGTTAGATAGAGGCTGTGGGCCAGTTCCTCTGCTTACCTGCAATGGAATCCACTCTCCTTTTCTTCAACTCTGGGAAATATTCCAAGTAGAATTCCAGAAAGTCATCAGCTAAGATACTTTGGAATTTAAACTCATCGACATAGGCCTGTGAGGAGGGCAGTGCCTTTCAGCCACTCTCGGGTCCCATGGGGAGCTGAGCCTCTCTAAAGCTCGCACCCTCCTCCAACCCCTTACCTCTTTCGCCCCCAGCCTCCACCCTTGTACTCTGGCCCAGTTGCTTTATCTGTTCCTCTTCCTTCTCCCCTCATGTGAGAGTTGACTATACCTTGAGAAAATTGTCAAACTGATCCTGATCACCCACCAAGTGGGCCAAGTATGAGACAAAGCAGAAACCTTTCTCATAGGGGGTCTCGTTGTAGGTGTCGTCTGGGTCAACACCTGGCAGAGGAGAAAGCAGACACAGTTTGGGCATTTGCAACCCATCACCCTTATTGTTCTTCTCCAGCTCCAGATCCAAAGACTAACTAGGGAGGAGATCAGAATTCAGCTTCCCCAGGAACAGTGAAGCCATGGTTTCCAGATCCATCTTGGCCTCTCCCAGGGCACTTCAAAGGAGATCTTATTAGGATCATTAACTGTGGCCCTAATAAGAGGGCAAAGAAACCAGCCTTCCAGAGGAATTGACATGATTCCTTATTCCCAGGATATGCCTTTCTTGGGTAGGTTCTATCAACTTTTAGGACTGAGCACTGAGCTCAGTGTCTTTTCCAGCCTTGCTGGTCACCTCCTACATACTCAGCCTCTCCTCTCAGAACACTTTTTACAACCGTTCTAGGCTAAAACTAATTACCAGTCTACAAGAAGTTCGTTTTCATAGTCAATGGCATCAAGGAACATGAACTTCAATTGCACAAAAAGCTTTTACATTAGTCACACATGAAACTAAAGAAAAATGTTAGAAAGCAAAAAAAAAAAAAAACTCTGAACTTGGAGAAAGGATCTGGGCCTGAGTTCGGTTATACCCTGATTAGGTACATGACCTTGGATGAGTCACTGAACTTGTCTGGTACTCAATCCCAACATCTGTAAAATAAAGTCAATGCTTACTCTTCAGAACCCACAGGTCTGACTTGACAATAAAAAAGGAAAGGAACAGAGTCTTGTACACTGACATGGGCTGAGTGCAGTGGCTCGTGCCTGTAATCCCAGCACTTTGAGAGTCTGAGGTGAGAGGACTGCCTGAACCCACGGGTTTGAGACCAGCCTGGGCAACTTGGCGAGACCTTGTCTCTACAATAAATTATAAAAATTAGCCGGCGTGATGGTGCACACCTGTGGTTCCAACTACTTTAAAGGCTGAGGCGGAAGGATCGCCTGAGCCTGGTAGGTCAAGGCTACGGTGGCCATGAGTGTGCCACTGCACTCCAGTCTGGGTGACAGAGTGACACCCCCAACTCAAAATAAAAAGGAAGAACTGCACAGAAATAGACAGAAATCCTATCTGGCTGAGATGGCTTAGGTTCAGTCAGCCTAGAGGCCACAGAACTGACTAGAAAGACCTCTGGAGGGCCCTTCCTCCCAAAGGATGTATTCCAAGTGTGCAGTGATCAACATGAAGCTTGAATTAACTTGGGGCTCCAAGCTCAATTTAGAAGAGGGGGTGTTAGACAGATGAGCCTCCTGGACCTGGTTCAATCTTCACTCGGAGCTTGTTGAGTGGGTGTTCCTCTCCAGTGATGTCCATATGCTGACGCAGCAGGGCACGCCCGGTTGCAGCCTCCAAGCAGGTGTAAGCAGTCCCTGGGGCAAAATCAAACATAAGCCCCAAGAGTCTGTCACCATATCCAAGTGCATTTCCTGACAAAGACACTGTGCTGCCCTCTTGTGGCCTCAAGAAGAACAGTGACAGAAGCTTCCTACCAATATCCTCCTGGGGACCAAAGAGCAAATAATGTCACTGAAGGGAACCTGACTCAGTTCCTGGCTCCCCATTGCTCTGGGCTGCAAAGGACTTGGCTAGCTTAGGCTGTCAGTTTCTCCCATAATTGGGGGCTAGGGGATCAGACCTAACTGACAGTTACCTTTCTCTATCAATGAATTTTATTTTTAGATAATAATTTGATCTACCATGAAAACAGAATTTTTTTTTTTTTTTTTGAGTTGGAGTCTCACTCTGTCGCCCAGACTGGAATGCAGTGGCCACTCCCAGCCACCGCAGCCTCGACCTGCTGGGCTCCGGCAATCCTTCTGCCTCAGCCTTCCAAGTAGCTGGAACTACAGGCGCGCGCTACCACACCCAGCTAATTTTTTTTTTTTTCTTTTTATGATTTATTGTAGAGATGAGGTCTTGCTGCCCAGGCGGGTCTCGAACCCACGGGCTCAGGCAATCCACTCACCTCAGCCTCCCAAAGGCGCGGGATTACAGGCTGAGCCACCGAGCCCGGCTTAATTTTTTGATTTATTGTAGAGATGAGGTCTCGCCAAGTGGCCCAGGCGGGTCTCAAACCCACGGGCTCAGGCAATCCACTCACCTCAGCCTCCCAAAGAGTGGGATTACAGGCTAAGCCATCGAGCCCGGCTTGAAAACAGAATTTTTTTATCTGTCAGACGAGAGAAACTATGACCCCGAAAATGTTTAGGGGCTCCTAAGTCTCCTAGGTTTAAAAATAATTACAGGGAATAGTGTAAAGGAAGGAGACTAAGGTTTGTTTGTTTTGCAGAGATGGGGTCTTGCTCCTGGTCTTGAATTCTTGGTCTCAAGTGATCCTCCTGCCTTGGGCTCCCAAAGTGCTGGGATTACAGGAATAAGCTATCGTGCCTGGTCTGGGATCAGATTTTTGAACCAGCCATCTATGCCACTTACTAGGTGTTCTGAGTCTGAGCAAGTGACTTAACCTCTCTTGGCCTGTTTCTTCATCTGCATGATGGGATAATAATATTTGCTTGCAGGATTCCTACTGGCTGTTTAAGACTTTTGCAAACAGGCTCTTGCTCTATATACTCTGAATAAAAGTATAAATGTGTACAAACGTTCTAGGAGATAACTGAAAATATGAGGGACACACAAAAAGCCTTAGAGTTTATTTACTAAAAACTGTGTATTTGTTCTTACATGTTTAAACTTCAACTAGATGTAGGGGCACACACCTGTAATCCTAGCACTTTGGGAGGCAGAGGCAAGAGTACTGCCTGAGCCCAGGGGTTTAAGACCAGCCTGGGCAACTTGGCGAGACCTGGTCTCTACAATAAATCAAAAAATTAGCCAGGCATGGTAGCACGTGCCTGTAGTTCTGACTACTTGAAAGACTGAGGAGAAGGATCGCCGGAGCCCAGCAGGTCGAGGCTGCGGTGGCCGGGAGCGGCCACTGCACTCCAGTCTGGGTGACAGAGTGAGACTCCAACTCAAAAAAACAAAACAAAACAAAAAACTGCTCAATACTCAACACAGTGTGGGCCGGTGCACTGTCATGGTAGAAGAACCAGTCACCTGTTTGCCACAACTCGGGATGTTCCTTCTGCAAATGTGATGCAACCTTCTCAAAAACCTCCAGATAAAACCTTGGTCGGCCAGGCACGGTGGCTCATGCCTATAATCCCAGCACCTTGGGAGGCTGAGGTGAGAGGATTGTCTGAGCCAACAGGTTTGAGACCAGCCTGAGCAACTTGGCAAGACCTCATCTCTACAACAAATTTTTTAAAAATTAGCCAGGCATGGTGGTGCATGCCTGTAGTCCCAGCTACTTCGAAGGCTGAGTGAGACTTCGACTCAAAAAAACAAAAACAAAACAACAACAAAAAAAGAAAAATGTTTGAAAGACTCTGCTATTATCTCCCCTTTTCATACCCACCTGCATCCTGCAACCCCAGAAGGAGATCACATTGGGCTCACAGGATAAGGAATGGGAGACAGAGTCCTTAGGAGAAGGATGGGTACCTTACCAAAAAGGATGGTGGAGATCCTCCTCTGGGCATACATGGTGAAACCTTCATTGAGCCAGAATTCACCCCAGTTGGCATTGGTGACCAGGTTCCCAAACCAACTGTGGGAGATCTCATGGATGATGACATCAGCCAAGGAGCGGTCCCCTGCTAGCAGGCAGGGGGTGACAAAGGTCAGACAAGGGTTCTCCATTCCTCCAAATGGAAAGGATGGCGGCATGAAGAGCAAGTCGTACCTGCCAGGAAGGTGGGAGGTCACAGAGAGGACCTGGCTCCCAGAAGCAGACCCTGCCTTGGTTCCCCGAGCAACGGCTTTTCAGCCTACTGCCAAGCCACAGAGACGGTCACTACATAGGCGTAGTAGCCGCAGGCCCCATGCTGAACATAAAGCCCTGGTTCCTCAGTTCTTTTCCATGTGTCTCCCCTGTCTTGCTGGAACTTTCCTTTTCCAGGTGGTGTTCGCTGTCTCAGAGACAGCTTTCCATATCCTTCTGTTTCCCTCTCTCCTTCTAAGCAGGGCATGAGGATTATTAGCTCTATCACATTTAGCTCACTGGAGGCCAGCTTGGCATCATAAAGACCAAAGTGGAGCCTTTCATCTAAGGCTGCTAAAGTTTGAAGATGTCAAAAGGGAAAATCGGAGTAAGCCATGATTGTGCCACTACACTCTAGCTTGGGCAACAGAGTGAGATCTTGACTCAAAAAAAAGACAGATCAACACAGGCCCCTGTCCCCTGTATCCCCATCTCAAACTTGGGGAGTGCCAGGCACATTTTGATTAGGTCCCCTCCTCAGCCACAATGAGGAGCCTGGCCCATCCCTTCTGCTCCTCCTCTTCCTCTCCCTCATTTCTAGGATATGGATATGGTGCTCTGAGGGACAGAAGGAAGAGAAGCTGCCCCCAAAGGGAGAGTAGAAACCAGGGACTCAGTTTAACAAAAGACATTCGCAACAATGTGATACCACACCTTCCCCAAACATAGGGTCCAAAAAGTTTCTCTCCTGTTGCCAAAAACTCTTCGATCACCCCGTTGTACTCCTTCTTGGCAGCATCAATCAGGCAGGGCTCAGCCCACACACGGCTCCTAAAGATGAGAGTGCAGAGAAAGCAGAGTGGTGTTTAGAGACCATCGCAGCGACCTGATCCTGAAAGTATCTGCAGAAACTTCATCCCACATTTGAGTCAAATGAATGTGACAATGTGATCAGCCAGAGACAGGAGACGCAAGATCAGATCACCTGCACAGATCCAAGGGACTGCTCCCACACCTGAGAAGTAAGAACCCAAGACAGTTTCGTGGTGGTAGCAGCCACCTCCTCTGAGCAACAGGATCTAAACTCACAGGGCTATGAGGTTTTAGCTTTCACACTGATTGCGATCTTACAAAAGTTATTTAACCTCTCCGAGCTTCAGTTTCCCCATCTATAAAGTGAGCATACAAAAGCTGTTCCTACAGTGGCTTATACAGTACGTTAGTTTCTTTCTCCCTACTTATCAGAAAGATGAAGAAAGGATTCCAATATCAGAATCTCTGGAACTGAAAGGAAACATAAAGTAAACCTACTAATGCTAACAGAAAATTGCTAATTGCCTTAGGCGCAGTAATGCATGGTGGTTATAAGGAAAAATGTCTTTATTCTTCAAAGAGGCACACTAATTTACTTGCTTTTACTTTATTTTTAATTTGTGTGTGTATGTGTGTGTGTGTATGTTGGAGTCTCAATCTGTCACCCAGGCTGGAATGCAGTGGCATGCTCATGGCTACTGCAGTCTCGACCTGCTGGCCTCAGGCAATCCTTCCACCTCAGCCTTCTCCGAGTAGCTGCAACTACAGGAACATGCCACCATGCCTAGCTATTTTGTTTTTATTTATTGTAGAGGTGAGGTCTTGCCAAGTTGTCCAGGCTGGTCTTGAACCCCTGGACTCAGGCAATCCTCTCGCCTCCACCTCCCAAAGCACTGGGATTACAGGCATGGGCTGCTGCACCGGTGAAATTTACTTACTTTTAAATGATCTAGCAAAGACAAAAGCAAATTTACTCATAATTAAAACTAATATGACAAAATAGATGGTCTCAAGTGAGATAGCTGGATAGGCCGGACTTGGTGGCTCAGCCTGTAATCCCAGCACTTTGGGAGGCTGAGGCGAGAGGACTGCCTGAGCCTGGGGGCTTGAGAACAGCCTGGGCAACTTGGTGAGGCCTCGTTTCTACAATAAATCAAAAAATAAGCCAGACATGGTAGTGTGCTCCTGTAGTTCCAGCTACTTGAAAGGCTAAGGCAGAAGGATCGCCTGAGTCCAGCAGGTCGAGGATGTGGTGGCCGTGAACATGCCACTGCATTCTAGCCTGGGCCACAGAATGACTCCAAGTTTAAAAAAAAAAAAAGAAAGATGGATATAGAGGTGTTTAATCATCAGTCTTTTAGTTTTTTCTACATTTGATGTTTTCTTTCTTTCTTTTTTTTTTTTGAGTTGAAGTCTCACTCTGTCACCCAGACTGGAGTGCAGTGGCCCCTCCTGGCCACTGCAGCCTCGACCCACTCACTGGGCTCCAGCGATTCTTCCGCCTCAGCCTTCCGAGTAGCCGGAACTACAGGCGCGCACTACCACGCCCGGCTAATTTTTGATTTATTGTAGAGATGAGGTCTCGCCAAGTTACTCAGGCAGGTCTTGAACCCGCGGACTCAGCAATCCACTCTCCTCAGCCTCCCAAAGGCGCAGGATTACAGGCTGAGCCACCGAGCCCGGCTCCACTGGAACGTTTTAAGCCAACAAGCAATTGTCAGATGTAATTTTAAGAGATCACTCTGGCTGGAGGACACACAAAAAAATATGCTCAACTACAATGGGTGAGCTTCCCTAAGGAAAGCACACAGGAGGCCGGGCTTGGTGGCTCAGCCTGTAATCCCACACTTTGGGAGGCCGAGGTGAGTGAACTGCCTGAGCCCGTGGGTTCGAGACTCACCTGGGCAAATTGGCAAGACCTTATCTCTACAATAAATCAAAAAAATTAGCCTGGTGTGGTAGCGCGCGCCTGTAGTTCCAGCTGCTTGAAAGGCTGAGGTGGAAGGATCGCCGGAGCCCAGCAGGTCAAGGCTGTAGTGGCTGGGAG